TCCACCATACCACATAATCTATTTTTCAAACAATTGCTTTAGATTGTGTTATAAGGATTAAAGACCTTCATTGGGAGAATATGATATAAAATCATGACAAGTATGAAAAAATATTCATTCTGTACAATTAGTTTTTTTCTTATTCTTAGAAATCCTTAGTTATACAAGATGGGTCTCAATCATGCAGCTCATCTTCTGAACTCTAACATTAAAACTAGTCTCTGTTTTAAGTATTTTACTAGTTAGCAAATCAATTGTAAACAGATGGGGGTAAAGGAGGCTATAAAAGAAGGCAGTTGAAGAAAAATTCAGCTGTATTTAGTAGTAGAAATATGCCAGAGACAAAGCAGAATAATGTTTAATACACAAATGATATTTGATTTCATAAATTTTAAATTTTAAACTAATAATGGTGCAGAGCAGTTTCTTTTGGGGTAAAATGACTTAAACTTTGTGTCTTGGGGAGAGCGTTTTGCCTAGCGAGCAGGACACCGCCTGCAGTGGTTAGGGTTCCAGGTTCTCCTTCCAGTTCCCCTCTCCTGTGCGCCCAGCAGCTAAGTGTGGGTGGCTGGGTTAATGGGAAACCCTGATTAAATTGCTGGTTCTTGGCTTCAGCTGGGCCCAGCCCTGACTATGTTTGGCGTTTTGGGGGTGAATCAGTGAATGGGAGATCCTTCTATGTCTCTTTCCTCTTAAATGACGTTAATTAATTAACCAAGTAATTGAAATCTATACTTGGCATAGAATATTTTGTACAATGGTGCTGCTGGGGGATTAGAGATGATACTAGGTGACTCCAAGTTTCTAGCTATACATCTAATCTTTTGATACTTGTAAATGTTTAAGATAAGTTCTTGTGAGTAGTTTCTGATTTTGCATGATTGCTTCAATGATTAGGGAATTGGAACCTTAGAAAACTTTAAAACAACTCAAATCCATGGAATTTTGTTGGGCTTTTATAGGGCCTTATCAATGTAAGCAGCTATTACTATTCTTATTTGTGATCCATTTCTTATTTTGTTTCACTTTTTTTTTAGAGATTACTCAAAATAATTTTATAAAATGAATTCTATCAAAATCAGTGAATAAAATGTATTATTTTACCATATCACAAAATGTTATAAAATATAATTTTGTATAAGAATTTTTTTATAGATGGGGTATGTCAATCTGATCATTTTCATTTGCCTGCTGGTTAGGCAGTTCTGATTAAAGTTGAAATTTTTGTGTCTATATCTAATTTTCTATGTCTTATCCAAATTAAATATTATCACTTTATTACTATATCCATTACATTATTAGAAGCAACATAACTGTCCTGATATAATACGAAGAAGAAACTATTTCTTTTTATCTGGGACACAGTTAGGTTTGGTTTTATAATAGTAATGATTTTGAAGAACATCACATAATTGCTTTTTGTCATAGTGTGTACAGTCTTGTGCAAATTTCCATAATAAGCCACTTTGCTAGAGTTCCACCAAAGGCTCTGGACCCAGAAAACATCATCTAGTGTCTATATCTTCCCTTACTTTATAGAATTAATTGAATAGAAGTTTCTAGTGAAGCTGTGATTCTATTAATCAAATTAAAACTACTATGATAAAAACTATGTTTAATTTTTGACAGAGAAGGTGTATGTGGGTAAAAATATTTTAAAATGATTTTAAGTTTAGGTTTAAATGAATCCAGGGGAATATTGACCATGTCCATGAGGGTAGATACTTCCAAAGTATAGCAGAAACTTCTTTACTAGGAAAAAAAGGCAGAGTTAATAAAAATGCTTTCAAAGAAACAAAATTGCCTTTGAATTTTATTTGGCTGCTTGTAGGATGTGTATCACATCCTTTCACATAGATCTCCTGAGCCCCAAATGGTTATTTGAATATGATATTTATATTAAATTAAATATGATATTTATATTTATAAGTTGTTCAAGAATAGCTTTTTTTCTACACTGAAGGGGAAAATGGAGAATATTAAATAGAAGTTAAGTTCTCCAGGGATAAGGAAAAGGACTGCCTGCAAGCATTGCATGAATCGCTGTCTCCACCTAGTGCTGGCTCTTAGTACTTCCATTTCCAGAGACCTAATTGATGCTGTGAGGGTCTCTATGCACATGTACTGTCATTGTAGCTGGGTCTGCTAGTGCCATGACAGTTACGGGTCTGTCGGTATTTCATTGACAAAGTAAATATTAAGAGGTTTATGGCTCTTATGGAAAGGCTCATTCTGTACCAGAACGTTACCATCTAATGATCTTTGTGTGAATGTTTATTGACAATGTAAATTGAACTAGACTGGCATGTTTTATTTGTTTTTTGTTTTTTGTTTTTTTTTTAAAGATGTATTGATTTGGGACCAGCGTGGTGGCATCGCGGCTAAAATCCTCGCCTTAAAAAAAATAAATTCCTCGCCTTTAACACACCAGGATCCCAAATGGGCTCTGGTTCTAATCCTGGAAGCCCCCTTTTCCCATCGAGCTCCCTGCTTGCCTGGGAAAGTTGTCCAGGATGGCCCAAAGCCTGGGACCTGCACTTGCCAGGGAGATCCAGAAGAGCTGCAGGCTTCTGGCTTCAGATCGGTGCAACATCAGCCATTGTGGTCACTTGAAGAGTGAATCATCAGATGGAAGATCTTCCTCTCTGTGCCTCCTCCTCTCTCTACTTATATCTGACTTTGCAATAAAAATAAATAAATCTTTGAAAAAAAGATTTATTAATTTGAAAGACAGCGGAAGAGAGAGACAGAGATAGAGGGAGATAGAGAGACAAAGCGACAGAGTGAGAGATTCCATCACTGGCACATGCTCCAAATACTTCCAGCAGTCAATGCTGTGTCAAGTGGAAGCCTGGAGCCAGTTCTTCTGTGTGATTGACAGGTGTCCATTCACTTGAACCATCATCCACTGCCTTTCCAGAACATCAGCAAGAAGCTGGATTGGGAGCAGAATACCTTGGATTACACTTGCACACCTATGAAGGATGCCAGCAATGCAAGTAGCAGCTTAACTCACTATGCCACAATACTGGTAACATTGATTGAATCATTTTAAAGACATCCTGATGGGTTGAAGTTTATAAAACAGATAAATCATTTTACTTTCTTGAAAAACTTTAAAAGACAACGAGAAAGTGATCCTATGCTCTTGCAAGCATATTATACAAACCGTGACTACATTATATAGATGTAGATAGACACATACATACAAACACATTCAGTTGAAGTTAAGGCTCATGATCAACAGGCTAAACTGTTATATATTCACACCTCTATTTACCAAGTGGATAGCCAAGTGTCCAACTTAGAGCTCAACCTAATTGGTATCATTGCATTTCAGCATTTCGCTTCAGAGACAAATTGCCATGGTCTACTCTGATCACTCTTGTCACGCTGACCCCTTGATCCAGGCTTTGTAGGAAGACTTGAGTTCTTTTGTAATTAGGTAAATGGATTTGGAGAAAACCCACTGAGGGTATGCCACTCCTGTGGGTAATAAGGAGAAGAACCAGCACAGCAGCTGCTTTCCTTCTGGATTTACTTGAGCCTATCCTAAATACATCACTTCCATGTGCAGTGCTGCATAGCTGAATCTGTCTACTGCATGTCATGAAGGATATGACTACACCTAGCTCATGATTGGTGACTCAGGTTTCATAGCCATTTCATGATGCTTTATCCAGCTGTCAGACTTAAAAAAAAAAAAACACCTTTTCCAAATATCAGTGATCATTTCTTCTTTTAAACAGAATTGTGATTTTGTTGCTGTTGTTGCAAAAAACATTTCTTTGTTTGGAAATCTTAGTGTTCATACTTCACTTCTCTTGTTGGGCTTCACCAAGAATCCTGTCACCTAAGAAATTGTTAGTGTCACCTGATTCATCACATCATTGTGTGACCGTCCCAGGTAACAGAGTTATGGTACAGCCTTAATGTGCTTCAACTCCTGGCTTTTATTCCTCTCGAGACTGGAAGCCTCCTGAATCACCTAGTAAACGGGTCAGAACAGCATTTTGAGATGAAATTTGTGTTGTCCCTAAAATCCAAAACAGTCCATTAGTGCTGTTCCTTTGGCTTTGTTACATGGATAGGTGATCTAATAATATCCTGTGTGCATCAGAACAATGGACATCTATTACACCTTAACACCTGCCCTGGTTATCTCTTTACTGTTAATTAAGATTATTGTATCTCATTCTGAATTGCCAATGACTGATACATTTTGAATATATATTGTAAATGTTTCCTGTATATTTTCATGCATAGAGAGATTACTAAATACCTATTGATCACATAATTTACCTCTCATTCTGCTAAGAGAGCTTTTTTTTGAGAAGAAATGGTTGAAATTGCAAAATTTAGACTTTCATTAATATCTAATTTTATTCTATCATTTGCCACACCATGTGACTTGTTCAATGTTCACTTTAGCTGTAGTGAAGTTTGCTTAATGAGCATGTTAAAATATCACAAGTGCTACATGAGCTGAGAAAGAGGCATTATTTTTTCATTAAGTTATAGTCTAAACAGAGAAATGGCCATGATCATATTTATTAGTAATAGCAGTCAGACTGTCTGTATCCTTATGTATTACTTCAAAAACATTCTAAGGTACTTTATAATCTGTTGGTCACATGATAACACATTCTTCAATAATGGTGTACACGTCAGTTTCTCTGAGAATCTCTCAATGATTCATTAGATTGTTTTCTATTTTAATAGTTATTTATGTTATTGCTATTATATAATCACTCTATTCTGCCTTTTGCCTCAAATTCCTTTGTTACAACATTATGAGCTTTGCTTGGAGTATGCTTTCCTGTTTGTTAAAATTGGTGGTTTTGTTTTAAAATTACTTTCATTTGTATCTCTTCTAAGCTGAAAGTATCAGATTCAAGATTTGAGTGCAAAATTTGTCTGAGTACACAATAACATACTACTCAAGTGAAATATTTTAAAAGAGATTCAGCCTAGCTAAATGTCTTTTTGTTTTGTTTTAGGTAGCTCATAAAACATAAACTAGTAAGCCAGGCCAGTGAAAACATGCCAGAGTTGAAGATCCTCTGTAACAAGCTTGGGTACATGTAGCCAACCTTTGCTAGTGGCCAGCTGAAAGAGCATGAATTGCTTTGTATTGCAGTTATTGAAACTTTCATCACAATTGGTGAAATTTTTGAGACCCAGTGTGTGGTCAATTTTCTGCAAATATCCACGATTTTCGAATTGCTGTTGTTTTAGAGATGAAACTTGCTAATTCTTTTTTATCAAGTAACTGGGAGATGTGTTGAAGTCTTTGATTATAGAGGTACAACTATTTAGTTTTTGGGACCATCAAATTTTACGTTATATATTTTGAAATTTACTTTTTAAGCATGCACATGTTCAAAATATTATGGCTTCCTCAGTGAGCTGAAGATTTTCTCATTATGTAGAAACTCTAGCTCCAGTAAAAGTTTAATTTATTCACTAATAGAAATATCTTCACTTCTGTTAGCTATTACTGGACTAATATATCTTCTTTCTATCTTTTCACTCTGTATATTCTGCTTTAAAGGATTTCTTGATATTAAACATAAAGTTAATGTAAAAATTATCTACCAATCTTGGATCTAAACTTAGCATTTGATCTTTTCTATGTATGGAAATTGCAGATATATACAGGGTTTTCAACAAACTCATGGAAAATGTACATTACAGAAAACTATGCATGGATCTTAAAAGTTTTGCACTAAATTAAACATATCTTTTAATCCCATTTTCCCATAAGCTTTTTTAAGATTTATTTTTTGCTTATTTATTTGAAAGACAGATTTACAGAGAGAAAAGACAGAAAGAGAAAAATCTTCCATTGGCTGCTTCATTCCCTAAATGGCTGCAGCAGCAGCTGACCTAATCCAAAGCCAGAAGCCAGGAGCTTCCTTTGGATTTCTCACAGGGGTCCAGGGGTCCAGGGGTCCAGGGGTCCAGGGGTCCAGGGGTCCAGAGACGTGGATCATCATCCTCTGCTGCTTTCCCAGGTCATCAGCGTGGAGCCAAATAGGAAATGGAGCATTTGGGACTTGAATAAGCATCCAAATAGGGCGCTGGTACTGTAGGCAGAGGTTTAGCTCACTACACCATGGCATCAGCTTCCTCCTTCCTGTAAACTTTTTAAAGTATATTCTTATTTACTTATGATTTGCTTTCTATTTGTTTTGGCTTTTCTGTGTTCTTTCCTTTTATTCTCCCACCCCATTTATTTGTGTTCTTTTAGATCATATTTCTCTTCATTGTATTTTACCATCTACTAATTTGAACATTATGCCCTCAAGGGCTTGCTTCAGTAGCATGTATATACTACTTCCTATGTTTCCATTCATTTTGTTAATATCTTGGACACTTTGGCTTGCGTACACAAATGACCAAAAGGTAAAGCTAGCAAACATACTTGCTTTTGGATCCGGTGCGATGGCTCAGTTGGTTAATCCACCACGTTGCAAGCTATCCCATTAGGTTACTTCAAAAAGTCCATCAATTTACATACTTTATGGACTTCTGTGATCTCAATCAACTTTTTCCTTCCCCATACACCATGGTTCCCTGTCTTTCTTCACTGATACAATCAACAAATCCTATCGTTTTGGAGGAAGAACGTGCACATTTGAAGCTAGGAGGTTGTTGTATTAGGCCCCAAAGATACCATTTTATTTAGACTGCAGCCAAGCAATAGTCTAGAAAACTGAGTTTTGTTTAAGAAAAAAATGGAGTTTTTCAAAAATAATGTGGTAGCTGTGGGGTGAGCAGCCTGAACTGGATGAACCTGTATCTGAGACTCAGGGCTTGCAGCACTAGTGAAAGCCAACATGGATTCGAGCATGGTAGAGGTACAACAAAAGCAGTAGGCGCTGCATGAGTCCTTTTTCCCTTAAGCAAAGACTGCCAGTTATGCTGATTGCAGATTTTTCTCCAGATGTGCAAGTCAGATAAAAGCTAAAACAGACAGCAGGCAGGTTAACTTGTAGCACTGCAGGTGGTGAGCAAATAGCAAGAAGTTGCCCAAGAGCCCTTGTCCCTCTTTCTGTAAATCTGATCTGCTTGAACAATAGGCCAGACTACCAAAAACAATATTCAGGTTTTCAAAAATTAGCATCTCATGATATCCCAATACTTTTTAATCCCAATAGTTTTTAATATTATATTGGAAGAACTTACTAAGGAGTTCTCCAGAAAGGACCAAGAGAACAGGTGAGAGGAAGCATGCCTGTCTTAAAGTGCAATAGCAGCCTTGATATTGTGAGGATAGCAACTTTACTTGTCTTTTTGCCTTTTGAAGAGTTGTTTGGCATCTTTGATCAGTTCACAGGATTGGGTAGATTTGCCTTTCATGTGCACTGGGGTATGCTCAAAGTCAGGTTTCCTAACATGCAATGTGTGTTCTGAGGTCAGACCACACATCTGTGGACTCTGGTCTCTGAGCCTGGGGATCCTGATGTACTTGAGGACAGTGTGTTGTGACGGTCAGGGGCTACTTGCACACACTGAAGGCCATCAGTGGCCCCACCGTGACCCCTAGGCCTGACTCTAGCCTGGAACTCATGAACTTTCATTTGAACTTAGAAACCACACTGGGTAGAGAAAGCAGGGAGAGGTACACTTGAGGTAAAAAGTGTGAATTTTCAGTTTGATAGGTCTCTATGAGGATGCGGCTAAGATGAAAATCAAAAACACTTTAAAGGGTAGAAACTGGAGCACCTTTAATTGCAGCTTCAAGCTTTCCACCCCCCTAATGGATGGATGGGTGACAGGCCACTTCTTGAGAAGCTACTTCCTTAGATAAGGAAATAGGGAAAAGTATAATTTTTGAAAAAACTTATAAAAATGATCCTGTCTTGTTTACTTTAACAATTAAGTAAAATTACTTCAGTGATTACTTCAAAGTCAAATGGGCCGTCTGCTGGGCTCTGAAAACGTTTTTATACACAGAGTTTCATGTATTTGAGATATCAGTATTTTAAAATATGTTAAGCCCTTTTAACAACAGAAGATTAAAAAGCTTTGGGGGTTTATTCTTATAAAGAATAAACCCATGAAGGAACATGCCAGCTGAGTGTAGGAAAGAATATAGATAACCTTTATTCAAAGAAACCTCAGTTCACAGACCTTTCTCCTTTGCAGCAGAGAGACAGACATGGAGAAGGTGGGTCTACAAAGGAACAAAAAGGCGAGGCAAGAAGCGCGTAGACATGCAGTGCTGAAGTGGGTGCCGAATTGGTCCTGATTTGGTGCAGCAGTGACTCCACTGCCTGAGGGATGTGCCAGAATTCTGCCCTCCCTTCCGGGCTGCAGGCTGAGATCTGAGTGATGACGTGCTGGCCTCGAAGCAAGCTCCGCCCACCTCTGGCAACCATGGCATCCATCAATTCTGTGCCGAAGATAACTGGAACAATCTATAGACACTCAAGCTATTTTTTCACACCATAAGGGAAAAAGCTTTGAATTAAGAAGTTGTACCTCTAAGCACTTAAACGGAAGGAGTAATGGATTTTCCTACTCAAAGAAGAAATTCTTGAGAAAAGGAACTTGGAATTTTAGAATGTGCTGTTGGGTAGTAATTTTCAAATTCCTAAGTTAAAACTTTAAAATTTGTTTACACAGATGGGACCATGCTAGACAAAACAGTTTATGTACATATATTATTCATTTGTTAAGATAGGATGATAATTACTAATCAGAACAACAGAGAGAAAGAAGAGATGAGAAGGCTCAAAAGAGAAAATTGAAAGGATGAAGGAAAGTGACTGAAAGGTTTGTATAAAAAGTGGGCTTTCGGGCCCGGCGCGGTGGCGCAGTGGTTAAGGTCCTCGCCTTGCACGCCCGGGATCCCATATGGGCACCGGTTCTATCCCGGCAGCCCCGCTTCCCTTCCAGCTCCCTGCCTGTGGCCCGGGAAAGCAGTCGAGGACAGCCCAGAGCTTTGGGACACTGCACCCGCGTGGGAGACCCGGAAGAGGCTCCTGGCTTCGGATTGGCATAGCATCGGCCTTTGCGCTCACTTAGGGAGTGAATCATTGGACGGAAGATCTTCCTCTCTGTCTCTCCTCTCTGTATATCCGCCTTTCCAATAAAAACATAATAAAAATAAATCTTTAAAATAAAAAAAAAGTGGGCTTTCTCCCAACTAATACATGCTATCTTTCATTATGAAAAGCAGGTGAAAAAGGGATATAGACTTATCTACTTAGGGGAATACCAAGGTCCATAAAGGTCTCCTGACCATGTAGCTGTGCACGGGAGTAGTAGGAATGCAGGAAAAAAAAAATAACCAGTAAGAAATTAATGGGTATGTAAAAATTTCAACTGAGAAAATGGAAGGGCAGAAATAGCATGCTAGTCAGTTTAATTATCCAGGCTTTTGTTGTCCTTCATTGTCTTGTAGTTCGCTAGTTGAGTGAAAGAAAAATAAGTGTTCTAAACATTAGAACAAGAATTCAAGTAGCAAAATGATGGAACTGTGAGTCGCAACTTATGCATTTGGAAACTTCTGAATTTAGAAATAATTCTGCATCTATTTGCATTATATTTTTTAAAGATTTATTTATTTATTGGAAAGTCAGATGTACAGAGAGGAAGATCTTCTGTCCGCTGATTCACTGTCCAAGTGACCACAATGGCCGGAGCTGAGCCAATCTGAAACCAGGAGCCTGGAGCTTCTTCTGGGTCTCCCACATGGGTTCAGAGTCCCATGGCTTTGGGCTGTCCTTGACTGCTTTTCCAGGCTGCAAGCAGGGAGCTAGATGGGAAGCAGTGCCACCAGGACACAAACCAGCAGCCATATGTGGGATCCTGGCGTGTGCAAAGCAAGGACTTTAGCCTATAGGTTACCATGCTCTGCCCTGGATTGTATTTTTATGGTGTCTTATATTACATATAGGAGCCCTGGCTTCCTTCCTCTAATGGAGGAGTAAAGGAAGCCATTTGAAGTGAACAGTACCTCAATGATGCTGAAGACAACGTCTGTAGTCACTATTACTTACTCTGAGAGGGTGGGAAGTGAAAACATCCCAACATACATGGGCTATAGGAAAACATTTGCACATACATGCATCAAAAATGCAACTTGCTTGACATATTGAAAACTTTCTTAATTTTGCATCTTAGGTCTATGAATGAACAGTTACCACATAGCCTGAGCAATATAGAAAATCTTGATCTTGACTTTTCCATGATTCAAAAAGAAAGGGAAAATCATTATTGTACACCCAGACTTTAGTGTAATAGGTCATTTCACAGCTTTAGTTATTTACTTTAAAGAACTACAGAGTGAAAGGGAGAAACAGTTGAAGAGAGTAAGGAATCTTCCATCTAGTGACTGCAATGGTCAAAGCTCGGACGACTAAAGCCGGGAGCCAGCAGCTTCAATTCACTGGGGCCCAAACAGACCGTCTTCTGCTGCCTTCCTAGGCACCTTTGCAGGAAGCTGGCTTAGAAATAGAGGAATCTGGACATGAACTAGCACCCAAAATGGATACTGCTGTAGCTGATGGCAGTTTTAACTGCTCTGCTACAATGTCAATCCCAGTGTGAATAACTTTTAGTGACATTTAACTCCTCTTTTCCTCCTAGTCACACAATTTTTGCCTCATTATTTTTTATGATGGAAATCAGTCTAGAAGTAAATCTACTCTGAATTTCTGAATATCTTGCAGTAGAGTAGTTACAGATCAATCCCAGACTGACTTCTTGGAGAAGTTTACTAACCATCATTTGCCATTGCCCCTCACATTAAGTAAAATCTTTCAACACTAGGTTAGTTTAAAATGAAAATGTACAATGAGTTTGTCATGAACTTTGACGACTCTTTTCAAAAATTGCGTTAAGGGAAAGCAGCTACAACTTGTAACCATTACAGATAATAGAAAATCATATATTTTAAACACTTTAGTTGTCACTGAAAGCTAAGAATAAAATATAGCTTCTTTAGTTAAAATTTTGCTTATTTAGAAGCTAATGATAAGTTAGCGTCATTATTGCCACTATTTCTAACTTGTTTGCTAGTTCAAATGTTTAAAGTAGAAAGAAAAAAAAAACCAATAACTTGAAAGCAACTTAACTCCTCTCTCCTCATATTTTAAATATTCATGTACACCATTCCTTCCCTAATTGAACGGACATTTTAACTTACTCATCTCACAAATTTCACATCATAACATCCCATCATACTTACAATTTAGTCTTTACAACTATCAGATTGTGTTTACAACTTACTAAAATACTTTTCTTTCAGTATAAATGAAAGATTAGAAAGAAATGTAAGATTATAAAAAAATGTGATACTGTATTTAGGCTATTTTAAAAAATGTTCCTCCCTTCTAGAAATTAAAGATCACTTGGATTGACTATCTCTTTCCAATGTATGTGAGTCTTTATGGTTTTCGTGTCATTTTTACTCGCAGTCTTCTTGGGCCACATTCATGAATATTATACTGATTATTATAACTCTTGCCTGCCCAACACAATTTCACCCTTTTTGGGTTTGTAGGTCCTTATCTCCCCCTTAAGAAAATAAAACTATTTGGCCCCATGTGATAGCCTAGTGGCAAAATATTTGCCATGCATCTGCTAGGATCCCATATGGGCGCCAGTTCATATCCTGGCGGCTCCACTTCTCATCCAGCTCCCTGCTTGTTACCTGGGAAAGAGGCAGAGGATGGCACAAAACCTTGGAACCCTACACCCATGTGGGAGACCCAGAAGAAACTATTAGCTCCTGGTCTCAGATCATCTCAGTTCTGGCCTTTGCAGCTTCTTGGGAGTGAAGCAGTGGTGGAAAAGCTTGCTCTCTGTATCTCCTTCTCTCTGTATATCTTCCTTTCCAATAGTAAAATGAAATAAATCTTCCAAAAATAAATTGAAACTCTTTTAATTCAGGTAGTGTCATTAGCTGGCTTGATGGTATCTTTGCTTTATTTATTTGTTATTTTCTTTGACAAGGACACAATTTTGTAAGTGTAGGGATTCCCCCACTTTGCCACACATTTCTCCCTACTGTCTTTCTTCTCCCACTGTTTTTACCCTTATTATGGTAGCATAGGCCTTTAGCAACAGCTACAAGTTTAAGATTTTGCTATTTAAGTGTGTCATGGCATTGCAGATATAGGCAATGGTAGAAAATCTAGTTTCAACTTATCAAGGTATATTTAACAGTTTCATTGTATCTACGTTTCATCAGTAGCTATGTTCCTCTA